AAGTTAAAAAGGGGATGAAAGCGATAACCTCAAGCTAACTCAAACCATAACTTTCTTTATTGAGATATCAACCTCCACATTAAATCTGGTACAGAAAGTGTGTATTAAACTGCTCTTTTCATTTAAATTTAAAGTCAAAAAATCAAGTTGGCTATTCTACAGCATTACAGCGCTTCTTAATATATAAATAAATGATTCAAAGACTGAGGAACAGACTGTGAGTGTGTTTCAAGGGGGAAAAAAAAAAGGGGCCGGGCCTTTTTAACAGATATACTGATTTTCATGTACAAGTGACTTCATGTTAAAGCAACTGTGGGGAATTTTCAGCCGATTATAACTGACTGATATTGATAGGGATGCCTCTGTGTGGCCTTAAAAAGCAAATCAGACCACCTTTGAAGGGTTTGTTCATCTCTACAAAGTTATTTGTGAGGTTAGAAACTGTTGTCAGGGGTGTAGGTGTCAGATGATTTAGCTAAATTGAAGCTTCTTAAAAAGGCTTTTTCAAAAATATCTCAGGTGAAGATGACCAATGACTTTTAAAATTGAGCAGGGAGATTTTTTGTTTGAAAACAAGACTTAACACAATTTGAAAGAGAGGTTATGAAAAGAAGCATAAGAAGCAACACAAACCAAAAATTACTCACGGGAGCTTTAAGAAAGAATTGATAACACCTGATTTGTGTCACGTGATGATTTAACTCATCAGGTGACACCAAAATTGATCCATCCTGTGAACAAAATGAGTTTGTTACCTTCTCTGGAGTTCCCGAGGAGGCTTTTGCTGATCTTTATGATCAGAGAGAGGAGACACACGCTTTTCTCTCTAATGGAGTAAAAATAATTTTGATTTGTCAGTAACAGAATCAACTGAAAGATAAACCAAAACTAATGCTTATAACAACACTGAAGTCCAGACTGGTATTCCTATGCTTTACTTACACTACAGCACTTCAAAAACCAAGAACAACTCCATTTCTTCTCCTTCGGTTTCTCTGCAGACACAAGCACACACCATTACCGTGTGGTGACATTTGTTTTAACAACCTGTAGTGATGTTTTAAAGGAGTCTGCAGTGACTAGTCAACATTTATCAGAAGCTTTTGTGGCTGCACAAATAAACAGCTGATTGTTGGAGCAGTTTACTCACCTCCGCTGAAGGCTGATTAGACTTCTGACTTTTCTCTGTGGAGTAACAACAAATATAAAAATGAAAACCCACTGTGTCAAATATTTGTAGTGTCTGATTTTAAATGTCACATTTATAAAATGATCTTATTTTAACAGCTTTGAAACATACCAGAGGTTGACCAAACAGCCTGTGCAGCCAAAAGTTCATTGGGCAGCACTTTTCTGCGTTAGAAGCCTCTGACGCAGTGTCACTGGTCAACACAGAAACACAGGTTGGTTATTTTAATGAACAAAACAAATCTATAAACAGAAATATCTGCAGAGACACATGACAGTCACACAGACTCAAACCATGGTGATATTCAGACGATAAAATACAATAAACACGCATTGGATGGTCTTTGAGGAAGTATCAGAGTCAAACTGAAAAAGTGTCTTTATGTATCAGAAATAATACAGCACACTCACAGTGGTTTAAAATACCTGAAGGTTATTCCCTGTTTTTGTGTTGTTGTTATTGATAAATGAACCCCCTCTTTGTTCACACTTATTCATTAAAAACCTAAGTGCTGAATCTCTTTAAGTTGACACAGCGTTTTTAAAGCAAAGCTTTTTTAATGCATATTATCCGGGAAAGGCCTCATACAAAACATGTTTTTCCTTCAATTTCAAACACAGTAAATTAAAATGGTCTTTGTTTCCCTTACTGGGAATTTCCCCTTGTGGGACTAATAAAGGAGTATCTTATCTATCATACCTGACTTTACTAGTTTTTGACTAGAGACTCCCAGTAAGAGCAAACGATGATAAAACTTCTTTATTTCATTTAGTGTTTTTACACATTTCCTTTGTCTGACTGATTAATTGATCAGTAAATGTCTTATGTGAAGCCTTTGAATTGTCTTATTCAGTTAAAGTAACCACTGAAATGTATCACATAAATACATGTGTCTTGTGACAAAAAGAGTATGAAACACAACACAGTGTAAGTCCAAAATCAAATCCTAAATTTGCGAATCTTTAGATTTTTGCTGGCACTGTCACAGATTTAACTCTGAACTGTCTCAGATTATAATCTGCTGGGAGGTCTCTGTCATGTTTCAAATGTTACACTCTGCATATTAAATGCAAAAGAGGTAAAAGATTGTTTTAGAGACACATTGGTAAACTACTCTTTAATATCACACCCCTATAAATTTGAGTTTGCATTTTACTGTCATCATAAGTTAAATGTGTTTCTTACCTCCTGTTGAAGCTCGAGCACACAATTCTCGGAGCTTCTCCTTTTACAGGAAAGGGTTGACTCTTCTGTGCAGATTTAAAGAAGAAATAAGAAAGCATTGGTTAGTATAAAAGAAACTGTCAAATAAGTTTCAGACTGACGGCTTTAAATAGCCCAGAAGACATAATAAAATCTCTTATAGAGATTTCTCACAATAACATGAGCTTTTCTGCTCTTAAGCACAAAGAGTCTTTGACATGGTGGGCAGGACTTTCATGTGATGTCAATGCATCACTTTTAAGATAACCATCAGAACGTCTAGACTTTTAACTCGCTGTTGTGGCCACATTCATTGTGTTCATGAAGGGCGGAGGATTCGTACAATGTTCTTATTTTCATTCTGGGATATAAGGAAATCATGCTATGTGAAGAAGTCCAGAGGCAGCTTCTCATTCAAACAGTAGGTCAGTTAATGCCTTTGATCTCACATCTGTTTAGGATGCAATCATTAACGAGACACACACAGTCTGACAATGTGTGTGTGTGTGTCTGTGTCTAAAAGACCTGCATGTACACACAGTTAATATGTGTCTGCATCACCACCTATCTCCACCCACAAACTTTGAGCTACAGAAACCATTCTGGGCTTCAAAAATTCAGCTCATTGAGGGCATTATGGGGTATACTCAGTATTTTATTCATTTAACTTTTCCCCACTTTAAAATTATTCTCATTATTCATGCATTATTAAATTCATCAGACAAATCCAAACTCATTCAAACTGATTCAAACCTTTCTGATACTTCAAACCTGTTTAACACTTTAGGATTTCTAATTATTAAAAATTTTTCCCACTTCAAAATCATTCCCATTATTTATGTATGTTTTAATTCTTCAAACAAAATCCCAGTTCTACCACTACAATTACTACTTATATCACTTTAACTTGTATCTTCACTTCTACCTCCACTGCTCTTGCTTCTCTTAATATTTTTTTTACTTCTACCACGAGCTCTACTGCTTTGACTTCTACTTCTTCTATTCTAAAACTACTTCTACTGCTTACATGACTACTAATATCACTAGTACAACTACCTATTATCATACTTCTTCTAGTACTTCAACTTAAACTTATGCCGCTTCTTACTTTTCTGTGTTTTAAGGTAATTTTCTTCCTTATCCATTTTTTTTTTGCAATTTCAGACAGTTTTTCTAGCCTTATTTAGCATGAATGCAATTTTAATTTATGAAGCACATTCATACTATTTGTACTTCAGCAATTTTCACTTTCATCTAACTTCTACTTTTCTTTCTCCAGCTCTTTAACCAAGTTTACATTTAAACCTTCCTCCATTTTTTTTTTTTTAGCAGTTTAGCATTGTTTTTTCAGCTTCCAGCACTCAGCATTTCCACGCATTTTCTGCAAGGAAATGCAATTTTTTCTAGTTTTGATAATGCCTGTCACATTAAAGTCATAAACACTGTAAATATCCATGCACACATTTAGTCCTTGTCGATGCATCGCTTAACCATCACGAAAGTCTTGACAGTAACAAAAGTTTGTATGATAATATTGTCATGAACTCTTACAGTCGTAGATGTTGTCTTCTCTGTTCAGGTGTTGGTTAGAGGTGTTTGTCGGAGTCCTTAGTCGTCTGGTGAGGTTTTATTTTCTATGAAGCCGTCAAAAGTTGTAAGTTCGTGAGCCGCTTAAGTTTTTCGTGCTGTTCTCTTCAGATTTGATCTTCAGAAATGACCGCTCTCTTTTGCTTGTAATGATTTAAAGTTTTTACATCGTTACAGGTTACCATGGAGATTTAAAATGCTGTTTACTTTAGAAAAACCCTTACACTGGTAGGTTATATCTAAAAGTTTAATATTATCTTTAATTTACTTTAATCTCAATGGAATATAAATATCTCTCGAATTAAAGTGGAGGTTATTTTTCGTGATTGAAGATAATTATTAGTATAATTATCTCTTAAATACAACGGAGTATAAGGGGCACAATTAGAAAAAAAACGTTTTTAAATCTTAAAGAATAAAGTTATTATTTGGGAGAATAAAGTCATTAATATCAGTATTAAGTCGTAAAGTTACCTGTTGTGAAGGAGAGTTGTTAAAATCAGCACTGTGGAGCATTTAGATGAATTGTACTTTAGTATAGGTTTCACAAACATGGAGATACTTAATCTTTTGGTACATGAGCATTACACTGTCATGAGTATCAGAACTTATATTTGAGATATATGAGAAATGCTGCTTTTGTGGAGGGGAAAATGGCTGTAAAAGGCTGTACAGAGGCTAAATCCGTCAATACAGCTGTTAATAGCAATAGCATAGGGCTTTAGTTTATCATATGAGTTTATATGCCATGAGGTGTTGAGGTCTCTGCATGTGTAGGTTACTGACTTACTGTAATCATCGGGTCTATCTCGTCCTTATAAAAACCTGCTCTATTACGGCGAGTGTCTGTCTTCTTCTGTAGTCAAACCGTAAGATATCAAAATCTACCCGGATACAGCAATGCTACTTTTTTATTGGCTGTTCAGTAGATATACTTTATTTGATTGGCTTGCGCGTGGCATGCAGCTTCTGAACTCTCGGAGGAACTCAGTTGATTCCTACCTGTTCCATAGTTAAAGAAGTGCAACTTGGTGGACATCACCATGTTCATTTAAATGCGTGAGAAATACAATGTGTGGCGTGTGAGCGTGTGAACGGGTGGGAATGCGTGTGTCACACGCTGAATGCGTGAGACTTGAGAGCCCTGCAAAGATCTCCCGGGACAACCTAACTTTTGCAGCAGTTGTGGGAAAAGGCTGCAAGAAGCGGACGGTGACAGTCCATCAAGTAAGTTAAGGGATGTTCAATTAATGTGTTCTGCTACTTGTGGGAGTTGAGACATTACAGTAGCAGCGTTAATTTGCGTCCCTTTCCTTCCCCTGCTCAAGCACCGGCTCCACGGCGGGATGTCGGAAAGGCGGTTGCCCCCCCTGCGTGACGTAATTGACCATATTAATATCTCAAAATGTAAATCAGCACAAACGAAAATGTTTGCGGCACGAACATTTTCGTGCAACACTATTTTGAGCTAATTTCAACAATATGTGGGGACTGCTTTACTGCCTTGACCACTGCAATAATGTTCGATAACTCAAAAACTAAAGCAGCACAAACGAACATTTTTGCAGCACAAACCTGCATAAACGATGCACAAATGATTACAAGACTTGGTGTTTTCAAAGTTTTTAAACACAGTGACTAAAGAAACATCAGTGGCCACGTTTTTGTAATTAGTCATGGTTCTCAAAGTTAATTATTTGTTGTTATTATTAATGCTGTTCTATTAAGGTTAAAGCACCATATAAAAGTAACCCATTAGTAAAATATCCCGTGCGGTTCTCCTCCTCTGATCATAGCGGCATCCTTAGCAGCATTCTGTTACACAGAAATAAGTGACCCAAAATTTTACAATATTTTTTTCTTTGTTTTCCTGTAGCATCACAGACTATTCAAACCCCTACCCTTCAGACCTTTCTGGAGTACAGAAAGAAGAAAGCAGAGGAGAGGCAAAAGTTTTCATGTGGGAAAAAGGCAGCAAAGAAACCAGAGAAAGTCCAGGCAAGTTGGGTGTGGCTCAGAGCGAGAGTGGGCAAACTATCTTACAGACTATCTTTTGACATTCTCCATCATCTCACTTCTCTTAAACTAAGCCTGATGGCAGGCACAGTTTCATGTTAACTGTATATGACATATGATGACATATATTTTAGCTTGGCTTTGGTGCCACAACCCATGGTAGTCAGACAATTTCTCTGACTGTTCTGTGTTAACTTTGTATATATTTGCTAGTTTCTGTCCATAATGTATAATTAACTGCGGCATGCAAATATACATTATATTACCAATTAACTGTCAATTGATATTTAACATGACCCACTAACAGTCCACTTTTTAAAAAAATCTTGCAGATAAATGTTGGTCTGATGAGCATGGTGAAGGGAGGTGGTCTCAAGCCACTGCGTGGGAGAAGTCTGTGCCTTTCCACACATCCTGACGTCACTGCCCCAGATCTGCTTGATCAGGCTGTGAAAAAAATGAAGGACTTCAATAAGGACCTCAATGATGGACCTTTCATCCTTCTTTATCCAGATTGCTCTGAAGTGGTCAATGTACCTGGCACAGAGACACCATTTATGTTAAAGACATACAAGGAGGAAATTGGCAAACCATATCAGTGCATCACCATTTACATCTGCTCCAAAACCAACTTTGAGGAAGGTAAATTGTGTTATGTCCTAGTTGTGTCCAGTGCAAAGATGCCTGGCTGTGTTATATAGATTTTGATGTAGACACTGGGTTTTAAAAAGATGAGATGTTTTAATGGCTTACCCTCACTTTTGGATTAGCAGTTATGAATTTTCACCGAAGCTGTCATGTGAAATAGGTCCTTGGATTTTGTTCGTCTTTCCTCAATGTGTTTTCAGCATTCAATGTTCATGCTCAGTTAACCAGCTTGGAGTTAAAAAAGCATTTTCTCTATGTTTTAGCTTCTTCTCAAGCATTTATCATTCAATTGATCTTAGTTTTGTTTAATGTTTTGCAGTTGGAAAATTGTCTGCCACATGTGACACTGACTCTGACCCTGAGATTGTTATAAAGAGAAATACAATGTTTGATCTAGCTGATACACTGGTAAGTGCAATTTTTACCCTATTTGGGTGACCATTTACTGGTACTAAACAAATATTTGTCTTTACCACAGCCATTTGAACCTTATAACATGAGCAGTCCTGTACACAATGAGCCTGAAGATCTGTAAGTACTTACGGTGTGTATGTGTGTGTGTGTGTGTGTTTGATGTTTGCTTGCTTTTGTAATGTCACATCTATATTTTGTAGTAAATTATGATTTCTGCTTCTATGCCCTCTCAGGAACAGTGCTAGGGGGCTTTCATTGTCTTCTGATCTGCCACAGGTAATGAGTTTTTAAAATGAAGTTTGTGTAGGGATCACTAGGTCAAAGATTTTAAAAATTGTTGATGGGCCACAAAATTGAAATTAGTGCACCAATTTTTAAAGCTGTGTTTTTTTAGTTGTCATTTATGTCCTTGAGCACTCATGAGGAGCTGTCTTTATTTGCTCAAATATTTAGCATATTTCTACATTTCTATATTTCTTCTTTCTTTTCAGACCATAGTCTTGGATAATGACCACGACTATGCTGGTCCCTCTGGATGTCATGATGTCAAGAGTTCATGTTACAGGTGTGTTATATCTTATCTTTATTGTCAAATGGTGGACAGAATATTTGTGACGCAGCCACAAAGGTGTTGACTCGGAAATAAACACATTTCTGTCCTGACAAGGATAAGGTCTTATGTTTAAAGCAGAAGAATTGGTCAACCATTTGATAGGGCAAATGTCTGCATTTCTGAATTTATTAGTGCTTTGAATTGTTGATGTTCTGCGCAAATAATATCTTCCTTTTTCAGAACTTACACTGACCTCTTTGGACCTATCATCATTGATGATGATGATGAGGATGAAGTTCCCATTCCTGACAAAACAAATGACATGGCTTCTGAAGAATTTGAGTGAGTCATAGACATTAGAAAATTAACCAGCTGTGTGTTTTCCATAAAATTACATCATTCAAAAGTGAGAAGTCACTAAAATGAACACCTCAGACTTTCCCTGCCTGTAACTGCCTGCCTCAGGTCCAGTTGTTAAGATGTGTGTTTGAGTAGAGTCCATTGAAAAGAAGTTATTAAATTAAATGTGCTCATTGTTTCAGAGAGTGACTCAGCAGCATCTCTTGTACATAGATCAACATTTAAGTATATTTTAGAGTGTAAAGTAAGTGTCTTACTTTTTTCTTTTCTTAAGACCTACAAGTGTGCAGGCAGCAGAAGTAATTGCAAATCTGGCACTTGCAATTGACCACAAGAAAGTCAGCCGGTTCAATATATCAAGAGCTGATGTGTGGGATGGAGCTGTGCGCGGATTTCGACGCAGCACATACTCCGAATCCAGTGACATCTTCGTCAAGTTTACAGATGACGCCGGTTCCTTTGAAGAGGGGTTGGATACAGGTGGGCCAAAACGAGAATTCCTAACACTTCTCATGACACACCTCAGAAATCGCCCCATCTTTGATGGACCTCCCGAAAGACGATATCTCGTGTACAATTCCACAGGTGGGTTTAATAATAGGACAGATTGTATTTTAAAAATGTAAAGTTTCCAATCATTTCATCATCATTTTTTTTTCAAGTGATGTAGATGATAATCATGCATAATAGTTCTCTACCCTCTGTAACAGCTGTCAGGGAAGACGAGTACTTTCTAGCAGGCAAGATGATAGTTGTTTCCATTATACACGGGGGACCTGCACCACATTTCCTCTCAAAGGACTTTGTCAATCACCTACTAGGGAAGACAACTTTCAACACCACCGTGGAAGATGTAACCGATGAGGAATTACAGAAAGCTCTGCGTCAGGTAGAAAAAGATCTCAACTCATGGACTGAATTTGCTAAGGGGTCACATGAAAATTATTTCAGAAATTGAGAGTGGACTATGCTCAAGGTCATAAGTTATATTTGTGTAAAGGGACGGATTTCTTATTATTTCAATGAGAAGTAAAGGCATTTAATCCTATTGGTATAAAATAATGACAAACATTTTCAGGATTGATATCTTTGTATTTTTCTTGCAATAATTGTTTTTGAATAGGTTCAGGAAGCTGAATCGGAGGAATCTTTGCAAGATGTAATTTTGCAATACAGCACAATGTTCCAGACAGCTGGATGCCTCCGACACACTAAAGTTCATGAGAGGCAAATGCTCATAGAGGACTATCTGAGGTGGTACATCCTAGGACGCAACCAGATTGCCATTCAAAGGTAAGTTATCTTAGGCTGCTTTTTTACTAACGATCGTCAATAATATTGTAGAAAAGTTTTTTTCTTTCCTCATCATTTTTTCTCTCCTCCTCTCATGCTCCTCTCGTCATCCTCCCCTCCTCTTCTCCTTTCCCCCTCCTACTTCTCTCCTCTCCTTCCCTTCCCTTCTCTCCTCTTCTCCTCTTCCTCTCATGCTCCTCCTCTCCTTCCCTCCTGAGTGGGTAGCAGCTTTCAAAAGGTTGACAACCCCTGTCTTACACAATATTTGTCCTTAATCGATTCAAAGAGGGACTGGCAAGTCTGCAGTTTTTGACTGCTCTGCAGCAGCATTCAGGTGTGCTGGCTCCTGTTCTGTGCCATTCTTCCAAGGCCCTGACTGCATCAGAAATGGAGAGCCTCTTCCATCCAGACCGCAGCCCAAGAGGCAGCAACAGGTGGCAGAAGGAGAACCAAACAATGGGATTTTGGGCTGACTTTCTTCTGGATTGCGAAGGTTTGTCAAGGCTTTGTTAGATGTTTATTAATTGTAGTGTAGTTATATTTATAATTAGTATTTTCTCTGATCAAATATATGACTAACTAAAATGTTGACTTTTTTGTCCTTAGAAAAAGTGGCAGCAGTGTACCTCGAAGATGTGCTCATGTTTGCCAGTGGCTTAGCAGCGCTTCCACCAGCTGGAATGACACCCTCTCCAAGTATAGAGTTTTTAATCGATTCTTCTTTTCCAATGGCGTGCACCTGCACAAACACTCTGAAGCTGCCGCTATTGGATACTTACAGAGTGTTTAAGACAAACATGGAGTTTGGAATCCAGAATGCTCCAGGATTTGGATGTTTTTAGCTGCCATAGGAACCTTTCAAGCATAAAAGCGATTTGTTTACCTTTGTGAGGGCTTATGTCTCTGCAGTTAGCTACATGCATAGTTTAACGTTCACCTGTGTAAGGGCTTGCATATATTTCAGTCTGTGCAGTTAGCTGTTTGCACAGCTTACCCATTATATTATCTGGATCCTTTATGGTTTTCTTTTGTTTATTACTGGTTCTTTTATTATTATTTAAAATGTTGAAATAACTGCTGGACACTGTACAGTTTTAGTAAAAATGTTTAATAAAGTTATACCTGTCACAGTTTACAAAAAAATGAGGTATTCCCAACTCTTGTCCACAAAGATTCATAAATATTTAGAATAACAACTAAAATGGTTTAAAAACGCTATTTTTTTCTAATAATTTAAGTCAAAAACCAGTGCCTCCCACCACCATCTACACATATTAATATAACTATACACATTCTCACAACTGACAGTAGGGAGACATGGTTAGGCACTGAAGATCGGGGGAAACGCCAATCTGCAGGGCTGTTAACACTGGTAGGAGCAGCAGGGTAAGGACTGTGCCAGCAGCTGGACCCCCCTAAACTGACCGATGAGCGGACAAACATAGTGGAGAGCACCCCAACCAAAGGACCAAAGGGACCTGGGACTCAGTCTCTACAGCCCAGCTATTTGCTTCAGAGTGGTGTAAAGGTCTGAGGCTGTCCTCCAGTCTTGTGGCTGTTGTAGTCTGTTTTGTTCCACAGCCTGTTGTAGGTATTCCTCAATGTCTGCATCACTGCAAAAAAATCTATCTCTTGTCTTGCCTCGGGAAACACATCCAGCTCTGCATCTTCAACAAAGAATCCACAGTCCCTTGAACCAAATCTGAAAAAAGGATGATACACAGAAACATTTATCAACAATTGCAGAGACAGAGCCTCTAAATACAAGATTGTACTAACTTTTGCTCCTTGAATAGGCAGAGGAGAGAGAGAGGAGAGCATGGAGGAAGAAGAGGAACGAGTAGGAGAGGAGAGGACCACTAGAGAGAACCACTGATGTAAACCTTTACTACCTGTGGGGCAAGAGATATAGTTCATTTGGGATCCCTCCTAGACATGATGCTGGTCTGCTTGGACGAATCCGGTGCTTATTCCACAGGTCCACGCATTCATCCAGGTCTTTCTGAAGGACTTTACTGAAGCAAAATCTCAGCAAACACTGGATTTTTCAATGGCAGCCACGAACACCAGAGTCTCTCAGGTCTCCAAAAAGGTCCATCCAAAACTGAGACCTGGGGATACATTAGACATGAAGTTACTTACTTCACACAGAACAAATCAGAATGGAAACGTATTCAGCCACTGATATAATTGCGTTTTGGGGGTAGAAACATTTCTATGCACTTTGTATTCATATGAAAAAGTTGAAGAACACATTTGAAACACTGAATTAAAGCTAATGCAAAGCTGTTTGTTATTTAATGTGAATACTCACAATGACAGACATGGGAGTGAAAAATCAGCAGTGGACGAACACAGTCGATCACTATACAGTTACCAATAAACATTTCATCTATCAATGATAAATTTACCAACCTTCCTCTTCTGAAAAAAGACCACCACGACTCGATGCGCTGATTCCCTGTTGATGAGCCGCAACTGTGTGGCTGGACAAGCCTGCATAATAGTCCGTATGCCCATGGCGGAGGGTGCATTGTATTGCTGCCATTGTTCCATTTTCTGTTCCGAGGTCAGTTCGTAATCGCATTGGAAAAACACCAATAGTCCTGACTCAGCTTATGTAGTTGTGAGCGATGACAGATGGATTGTTGTTTGACGGTCCACAAACAAGCCACATGTTTCTTTGTGAAAATCCATCTATGCATCCAGAGAGAGCCAGGCCAAATGGTTTGAGTTTATCGTATCCATCGACATGCCATAAATAGTTTGGACCCATGGAGTGATAGGTACGCCGTGTGAACCTCCTGCGTCTCCTCAGAGCCGTCCGTTGTGGGCTCAGTTGTCTGAGCAACCTCATTACCACGTCACGTTTTACACGAAGTCCAAGTTTCTGTTGTAGGACTTGCGACATAGTCCGATATCCGAATAGTTGCCCTGGTCCATGAAGCTCGGTCAGAATTGCATGCCTCACCTCGAATATTGCGGAGTAGTTACGGCGTCTAAACAAGCCAGCTTCTTTCAAGCAGGTCTTCAGCGTTCGAACGCTCATGCCAATGCCGTGAATAGTCGACAACATGTCGACTATAACGTCATATGTGTGTCCTGCATGAAAATATTGTTGGATAATTTTGAGCAAACTTTCGCTTTCGGCGTCCATGTTCGTGTTTACTTTCCCGTTTCGACATCCAGCAGGCCCCACTCCACCCCCAGCGGAGTAAACTGCTATTAAACTACAACGAAGAAGAAGAAGACTGACGATGCTGTCCTGTTTTGGGATTTGCGGTTGCGTTTTCTTTTTAGTGTTTGCATTTGTGATTTGCGGTTGCGTTTTCTTTTTTTGTGTTTGCATTTGTGATTTGCGGTTGCGTTTTCTTTTTTTGTGTTTGCATTTGTGATTTGCTGTCGTGTTTTGTGATTTGGAGTTGCATTTTGTGATTTGTGGTTGCGTTTTCTCTTTTGTGTTTGTGTTTTGATTTGCTGTCGTGTTTTCTCTTTTGCGGTTGTGTTTTGCACTTCCAGGCCACCTTAGTGAATGGATCAGGATGGCAGGAAGAGGACGTGGGAACGGAGAGATGGCAGAGGGAAGTGACGGAGTAGGAAGTGAGATGGAGGGGGGAGTTTGGAATATTGCAGGTGAACAGCGTTTGAACAGGAAAAAACGGAAGAAAGTAGCAAAGGAGGCAGCAAGGAGAGGGGATTATGATTCATTGGTTTCGACCAGTGAAGGGGAGCAAAGTGCAAGGCCAAGGCAAATTGAGGAATACAAAGTAATTATTAGAATGACTCAGGAAGGACAATCGTTTGATGAGTGGAGCCCAGTTAAGCTGACAAAAGCCATACATAAAGTTCTTGGGGAAGTAAAAAGTGTGAAAGTTCTGCGAAGTTGGGCATTGTTGGTCCTGTGAAGGGATGGGGCAAAGCAAGGAAAAGCAATAAGAATGAGTAGAATGGAGGGAAAGTCTGTAGTGTGCTCGATGCCAGAAGTGAGGAGAGTGGCTGTGGGGGTTATATCAAATATTCCCACGGCTATTACCTGTGACGAGATCAGAGATAATATAGAGGGGGAAAGAGTGCTGGAAGTGCAGAGACTAAAAACAAACAGAAACGGAGAGAAGATGGACAGTCTCTCCATCAAAATCAGGTTTAAGGAACCAAAGCTGCCAGTTAAAGTATACATTGGATACATGTGTTATGAAGTTAGGCCATTTGTCCCCCCACCGCTTAGGTGCTTCAAGTGCCAGAAGTACGGACATGTTGCAGCAGTCTGCAGGGGTAAACAGAAATGTGGGAGATGTACAGGGGATCATGAATATGGTAAATGCCTAGAAGGGGCTAAGCTAAAATGCTGCAACTGTGGGGGGAGCACACCTCGGCGTATCGAGGTTGTAAGGCAGGCAAGAAGGCGGCAGAAATTCAAAAAGTGAAAACATCGATGGGAATATCGTATGCAGAAGCAGCGAAGAAAGTGGGGGCGAGCCATATAGATCCAGCAAAAATGGTGAGGGCTGACGCCAGCAACAGAGTCGAAGCTAGTGTGTCTAAAGCAAAAGAAAATGCACTTACAGTGAGTAAGAATGACTTTGTATTATTCATGGTAGAAGTGATAAATTGCTCAGCGCAAACAAACAGCAAAACGGAGAAGATCAAGATTATTATCAAGGCTGCAGAGAAGTACCTTGACATCAACGGGCTTAGTTGTGAAAAGGTTCAGGAAACATTAGCTGGAGAAATGTTTGATTCGCAGACATGGGGTGGAAACTCCTCATGGTCCTAGCTATTCTACAGTGGAATGCTAGAAGTCTTATTGCTAATGGTCAAGAATTTAAGAAAATTATCGAAGAAAGGTGTGAAAAGCCGCAAGTAATATGTATTCAAGAGACATGGCTAAAGTCACAGTGGAATTTTACGTTAAATGGGTACACGGCAGTAAGGTGAGAGATATATCCTGCAGATGCGCTGGAACACATCATCAGTGATGTTGTTTCCTGGCCTCATCGGGGGTTTCGGGTCTTTCAACATCAGACCCCCTCAGCCCAGGCAATCGGCCGGGGTGATCAATCCCCGGCCTGTGTCCCAGCAGCGTTTGCCCACGGTTCTGCCCTCTTAATCCAAAGCCATCCTGTGGCTTTCTCTGCAGCTTCAGTTGCGGATCTGATGGCCTTCTGTTTCGCCTCCCCGACAAGTCCTAGCTGGGTGAACACTCTGCAGAGTGACCGTCCGGCGAATCCCCGACAACCCACCTCCACAGGCTCACAGGTTGTTTTCCAGCCTTTGCCCCTTACACTCTTCCACCAGTTCCTGGTACTTGGCCCGTTTCCTCTTATTAGCCTCATCCATGCGTTCTTCCCATGGCACAGTAAGCTCCAGAATGATCAGCTGCTTGGTGGAGTCTGAGACAATGACCATGTCTGGGCGGAGCCTGGTTGATGTAATCCTTGAGGGGAACTTCAGTTGCCTGCCCAGGTCCACTTCCAGTTGCCAGTCGTTGGCGGAGGTGAGGAGGCCGGACTTTGCCCGTGGTGGTATGTTGGGCTTTTCTCCAGCTCTGTGGAATGTGATGGTCTTTGGCTTGTGGTGGCCTCTGCTGGTGTTGATGGCGGTGGCGATACTGTCAGCAACTGCCCTAAGCACCTGGTCGTGACGCCAGTGATAGCGCCCGTCTCCAAGAGCTTTTGGGCAGCTGCTTAGTATGTGTTCCAGGGAGCCCCGTCCTGAGCAGCGGGGGCAGGATGGTGTCTCTGTTTTACCCCAGACATGGAGGTTTGCTGGGCTTGGGAGGACATCATACACAGCCTGGACTAAGAACCTGATTCGATGAAAGTCTGCTTCCCAGATGTTGGACCAGGTGGTTTTCGGTTGCAGAACATTCTCCCATTTAGTCCATGCTCCTTGCTGCCCCATTCCCACCATCCTGCTAGCTCGTACTTCCTCCACACCTGCCTGTACTTCTTCCTGGATCAGCTGACGACGCTCCTTGCCCTGGGCCTTGTCAACTTTGGTTGAAGGAAAGTAGCCAATGCCTGCACGCCCAATTGCTGTGGACCCCACC